GTGAGCTATGTACATATAATAGCTTGTGTAATGGATCTCTAGGTGTTGAAAATGTGGACAGATGTCTTTAAATCCAGCAATGCAGCCGAAACTAAGAGCCGTTAGCACCGTTTCCAAACAATACGGTCACAGTTATATTGCAATTTTGTAACATATCCCAAAGGAACACTTTAAAATGTTAATATCGACGAAACTTGCAATAATTCACCTGCTTCATACTTTAATAGCAAACTATCTTTCTAAGAATGATAAGTATATCGATACGAACGGTTTTTATGTTTTGAATAGCCGCAACAACGCTGTTCTATGAATATTCGAGACTACGCCAATAATTCTTAACAGAAATAACAAAAGATCCCATAATTTTTAACAAATAGCATTATTTAATTTTATCTGCTTAACATTAAATAATAATAATAATATACTGATTAACATTTAACATAAANGCCGTAATCAACCTACACATACCCACCTAAACAGGTTTCTGTAACATTTGCCGTTTGGTCACTAGCGACCGAGGCGTTACTGATGTCCCACCCTGTATAATTAAAGAAAAAAAGGTAACTAAAATTACAGCTTATCTGTGGATGTTCAACGTCGTGGTACAGCAAAATGGCGGAGCCGTTTGATGGGACAGCCGGTATACTGCAACAGCTCCCAATTTTCCACAATTTCCGAGTCGTACGATTTGTAAGACAGTCAGCAAGCATTCACCTTTCTGCTGCAACTGTTGGGCGTTGATATGGGCAGGTAGAAAGGATGCACAATGCACCAGAATATGCACCATGTACTAAAAAGCCCTACAATCGAGATTTACACCACGTTAAGGTCTAGTCGATTGCGGAAAACAACAAATAATGACTTACGTGGTTGGAGGGTGGCTTGATAGTGAGCTATGTACATATAATAGCTTGTGTAATGGATCTCTAGGTGTTGAAAATGTGGACAGATGTCTTTAAATCCAGCAATGCAGCCGAAACTAAGAGCCGTTAGCACCGTTTCCAAACAATACGGTCACAGTTATATTGCAATTTTGTAACATATCCCAAAGGAACACTTTAAAATGTTAATATCGACGAAACTTGCAATAATTCACCTGCTTCATACTTTAATAGCAAACTATCTTTCTAAGAATGATAAGTATATCGATACGAACGGTTTTTATGTTTTGAATAGCCGCAACAACGCTGTTCTATGAATATTCGAGACTACGCCAATAATTCTTAACAGAAATAACAAAAGATCCCATAATTTTTAACAAATAGCATTATTTAATTTTATCTGCTTAACTTTAAATAATAATAATAATATACTGATTAACATTTAACATAAATAAAACTACTCAAATTTATTTAAATGTCTCCAAAGGAAAGAAATGTGAATTTTATGTATATTTGGTTGTATACTACTAGAGTTTTCTGATTTTTGAGCGGTTTACTCTATAATTATTCAAAATTATACTAAGATTAAAATTTTAACGTTACATCTAATACGACAATCGTATATTCGAACAGTTCTTACAAAATTTAACAAAAATCCTAATTTAAGCCATCTATGATAAAAATATTATTGCAAAAAACATATATTTTATTACTAGATCTCATATTTTCAATTCAAACAAATACAAAAATATAAATTTTTAATAAAACTAGTATTACACTACACTAATACCTAGTAAACAGCTAGTAATAAATAAAATTATCCAAAATAACAATTGAAAATAATTTGTCCAAATATAATTAATACAATAAACATATACCAAATATACTGAAACTGTTAAACAATGCAATCATTCAAAGAAATATCCTGTAATTCTTGCTGCCCTGTTATCACCTTTGACAAAGAATAATCATGTAAAAGAACAACTGCTATAAAGAAATCTTTCTGTTTCCACATTTTACTTAGAATTGTTTATTTTGCAGCTTCCCTTGTCGTACACAAATTTAATATTAACAAAAAAAAACATCAAGGAAAGGACAATATTTTGAAACGACAGTATCGAAAACTTTTGTACACGACTACATCGATTATAATTGGTTTTTATCTAATTACAATAGTTTTTTTACATCACTTGATTGATTTAATTTTCTGACATAACGAGATTGTAAAATTTGTTATTCTACAAAGTACATAAGAGTTTTATAAGGCCCCCAAATTTTAAAAACTTCATTGACTGCGTTGTTTTACGGCTAGTCAGTTTGTAAAACGGCTGGGAGTGTCCAGGTAATTACTATTTTTTTGAAAATCACATTTACAACTTCTTTGGATTTCTTAACAATGAAAAATTCAAGTACTCTGCTTGGACTTACCTTTAAATTTATTAACAGATTGAATTAAAGAAATAGTAACATTTTTAAGAATTTGGGGACAAACAGGATCTTTTACAAAGAACGACATTTTTAGTTTAAAATTTATATTCTCAATTTATAAATAAATAAGTTTTCTTCTTAAATATAGTCGTGGGACACACTGCATATTGTATATTTATTAGAAATGTCTTATAATATTAATACCTATGAAAAATAGTATGTTAATGTTATTAACATTCATTCAAATGTTAATGTAAACCTGTTTATCAAACTATCAATTCATTTTACAACACGACTAAAAGAATTTAAGCGTTTTATAAAATGACAGTTATGCTTTAGGTAGAATATTAAACAGGTGAAAAATAGGCAATCTGTCGGCGTACTAGTCGTTTTGTAAAACGACCAGCCGTCAAATGACTAGTCAGATAGTAAAATACTCCAAAGCCAACGAAGATCTGATAATCTGTCTTTTTATAAAATATTTTTTTAATACGGCAGCTACACAAATAACAGGAAGCAGAAGAGATAGAAGAGATAATTTTGTGCACTTTGGTACAATATAGTAGTTCCTACAAAATTAGTTTCTGACCCAAATAATTTTAAATGTCGCCATGGGAATGCGAAGGGCATGTAACAGTGTATTTATTGAGAAAAAGAAGATATTCCAATACTATTTCGAGATTTGAATAGATACATATCCTTTAAAGTTTCATTAGAGAGGAGAAAAATTTGCAAGGAATAGGCATTTTCGACCAAATTACTACTTCTTATATCCTACATAGTCAGTCGGCGTTATATATACTAAAGTTTCCTCCCAAAAGGAATTAAACTATGATGTTCAAGTGCGGTGAACTACAGGGCCAAACCTCAAATAAATGGCAACATAATGTTTTATGTAGACAACACTGCTGTTATTGTATTTGTGGGCTAAGTCTTAATATTGATAAAACTCATCGTTTAACAAAAAATATTTACTGTATTTACATATATTTATAAATCTTTGGTAAAATCAGTTTTAAAAATTAATATGGTGTGGTATTTATGAAAACACTTTTTTTTAAATTTACCTAAATGTAAATCAAAAAATTGAGTTAAAAACAATTTTAAAAGTAGATCGTCTTCTTCCTTCTAATTTGGTATACAAAATGTTTGGATATTTGAAGATTAGAAAATTATTTATTTGTTTATCTATTTGACACCTACACTATTGAACATAATATATCCAATGTCTTAGGCTCCCCAGCTTTTACTGGGAAACCATGGATCTGTGCTCGAAACTTGGTATTTGGAATCACAATTCAATAATATCAAACTGTTTCTGAATTTTTTTTTGTTTACGTGTCAGACGAACTATTGTCAATAAAGAGTGTCAAAACTTATCTGCGAACCGTTTTTCTTGCTGGGATTGCGTCCCAAGAACCAAACAAAGAAACCGTACCAGATTACCGTAAGTAAAGCCCGATTATTACTTTGGCAAGACGGAGTCCCAGCCGTCTGGGGAGTTCCTAGGGTTCGCCCTAGATGATCAGCTGGACGCTCACGCAATAACAGAACTTCATCTCACCCCGCTGGGTGAAAGAAGGATTTGCGGAGGACACCAATTACGGAATGTTGAGAAACACAATATGTAATACCTATAAAAAAGAAAATAAATAGTTGGAAAAATATAAACTTTTCGAACTGAGAATTAATAAAACTTACTTTGTATCAATTCAAATAACAACAATTTATTTTTTTTTATTTCCAAAAGGCTACAGACTAAAAGCCCAAAACTGCATCCACTAATACACTAAAAAATAAATAAATAAACTAAACATTGAGAGTGAGAATTAACACTAACTTAATTGCAGAATAACTTAAAGAACTTAAAGATGGACAACAAATTATACTTATATGAAAACAAATTTATATTCTTAATACATTTTTAAAATTATTTAAAGTAACATTAAAAATATCTAATGGAGAATCGGCAAGGTAATTGCTGCAGTGAGAGGTAATTATATATAATGGACTATTTAACCCCAGATTGGTATGCTGGGTCGCTAAACTAAACATATTCACACATCTGGTAAACCTAGAGAGAACATGAAAATTTATCAAAGGAAATAAGATGGGGATTATTCAATAATTTGATTAATATTAACAATTCAGTATGAATCCTCCTATGTTGGAGTGTCATGATGTTATATTGCTGCTTTGTTGCTTCTATATTGTGAATATTAACCCTAAAATTGAGATATGGAACAAACCTATTCTGAGTTCTTTCCAACCTTATTTTATAGGCATTATAATTAGGATACCAAATAACACAAGCAAAGTTAAGTCTACTGTATATATAGGCGTAGTACAATGATTTAAGACACCTTTCATTTCTAAATTCTCTGCATGTCCTAATTATAAATCCTTACATTCTTAGACACTTGACCACTATAAAACCACGTGATGTCCAAAGCACAACCTACAGTTAAAGATAACACCTAATCCTTAATTTATGAAACGCGCTCAATCATCTGAGTGTTAACAAAATAATTAATTAAATACGTAAGGGCTAAAGTTTTTAATGAACATAATAGAATGACATTTGCTAATATTTAATGAAAGTTTAAATTTATAGCATTATACAAGGCTGTGGATATCTTCCTGTATATATTCACAATCTTTCGAAAAATAAATCATGTGATAATTTTTTAGATCATCAGCGTAAAGAAGAAACTTTGAAATTTTAATATATCCACCTATGTCGTTAATGAAAACAAGGAATAACAGGGGCCCAATATGGAAGCCCTGAGGAACACCAGATGTAATGTGAACCAATTTAGAAAAATGCCCATTAATTGCTACCATTCATTTGTGACCTATGTAAATGTAAGAAGTAAACCAACGTAGGAGTATACCGATCCCAGCTTATGCTTATACTTTGTTAAAATAAAATTCAATAAAATAAGAAACATAAAAATAAAAAAATAATAATAAACAGCCAGTTAAAAGTAAAAGTGGTTTGTTGTTGTTCCATATTGTATTTTTAAATATGAAACTATAAATAGCTATTAAGAAATACATATATATGTAAAGGGAAAATTTTTGAGAAATTTTTAGATCCTGTATATAAATTAGTACTACTGATTCATTTTGTTTTTAATTAATCCAGAAGTTTTAACTCCCATCATTCTTGTATAGTTTTAAGTAATTGGTATTATTAAATAAGTAAAATATAATAATATAATATAAGTAGGAACGCGCCATAAAAGACACTATCAACGTATTGTCTGTGCCATTTGTTAAATATATCTGTTTGTCTGTCTCTGTCCATGCCCTGGAATAAATAAATTGAATTTAAATTAAATTTAGGCACTTTCCATTGTAAAAAATTGCAATAAATTTAATACCTACAGATCAGACGGTCACTCTGTGCCAGCAGACATGTAGTAGCAATGACATTTGATACATGACATATAATTTACAGGTTATACGAGTATCTCAGCCACACTTGAAACATGTCGGTCGTCTCAGCCATGGGGCACTGATGAGAACTAATACGTTCGAAATTAGTCCATGCCTGGTGATTCTGTTAACGACTAATCTTAACCCTTTACTGGATATTGCATGTGCTAGATGGAACCTGTAGCTCGTAGAGTAGTTGTTTCCAACAATATCATTAATGAAAAATATTTACTATAAATTCTATTTTAGTGTAAGTTCTTTTCCCTGTCTTAAACTTTAATTATTAGTAAATAAATGTAATAAATAATACAAATAAATATCCCATGATTTCCTTTACTTCAGTTAGTCACATTTATATATTTGAGGTATGATTGAACAATTGGCATGCCTACTCCAAAAGTTTTACAAATGGAGACTCGCTCATAACCATTTGTCTAACTCAGGATTATTCATCATATTACTGAAAATTAATTTTAATTCCACTTTTCAAAGACCCTTTACTTTTACCGCAAACGTTCTACTCTTTTTTGAAACCTGATTTTCTCGTATTTGATAATACATCCTTAGTCCTATTTTCAAAGTTTAGTTTGCGAGTGGATTTAGATTAGAAACACATTTTACCGTTAAAGATACGTCTCGAGTTTTCTGAAATTCTTTGAGCATGAGAATTTACAGATTTTTAAAAACGTGAAAAAAGGAGCAGTTTTAATTTTTCAAGTTTATTTTTTATTTATTTTATTTTTTCTATAATACTTTCTCAAAAGATCTACAGGGTGTTTCTAATTTGTCTTAGTGATTATTGCTGTAATATTAATAGATCATTTGAGAGATAATAAAGAATATTGTAGAAGAGGTACTCCTTAGTCAAATCGCTAAATATGATGTTTGGCAGTAAATCGAACTTAAATTATTATTGCAATTGTTAAGAGAAACTTTAAATAATTAAATAACACCTTAAAAATATAAAAAAACAGTAAAAAAATGCTGCCCTCCATTTTCTTCAATATATTTCCTAAAGGTTTTTAAAAAATGTCTCCTAACTCAGCAAAAAATGTTCGCTTTCTCCCTAATAGTTTGACACCCCTGTATTATTTAATTAAAGATCTCCAACATCATCGAACAGTGTGGTATAAACTATTTTTTTTTAATGATCCCAGAAGAGTCCACAGAATTTAAATCTGGTGATCGAGATGCCCATCAGTGAGGAAATACAGACGTCTTAAAGCACCCGCATATTTCTGCTTGTGTTCAAAATAACATCTTCTAGATAAAGACGACGGTGATTTTGAAGAAAATGTAGTTATAAATGGCTATTTAATGGGCCATCAAAAAAAAATTGGACGAATAAAATAATCCCCTACTATCCCCGTCCATATGCTATGCCATATGAGGTTAATCATTTGATTGTTGTGCTGATATTTTTCCAAAACGCGATGGCACATTTCCAATAGCTTTGACTGCTCATCTTCGTAAAGAGTCTGAAGGATATTTAGAAAATAACTTCTTCAAAATTATAGACTCAACTCAATATTTTTTTAGTGTAGATTAATACCGTTTTATTCTACATGCTTCAAAATACCGTCGGACGAATCTCTATAAAAATTTCTTTTCGTACAAAAAAATATGTAACATTCCTTGTACATCTTCATAGAAGTATTTCAACCTCATTTAGGTAATCTTTTTTGTTTACTTACTTTTTTTATAATGCTGAAAAAAGAAAAAATTATCTTGTAAAAAGATAAATTTCATAGTACGTAAATTTAATAATAACTGTAATAGCTACTGACTGTTTCTGGTAGATTTCATATTCTGTTAATTTGCTGGTACTATTTTTATTAAAATTGAGAAAATTTTCTTCGAAGAGAATGGAGCAAATACAAAATTTTGAAGGTACCCTGCCTATTTTTAGGGGTCTTTAAAACCACATTATTTTAAATTTAATGTAATAAAAATATTAACCACGTCTGTGCGGGATTAGAGAATTGTGAAACTAGTCCTAGAAAATGATGTACGGTATGTACAAATAGTTGTTTTAAATATTACATTTTTACTTACCTGTCATCGTCACAAATGTGGCGAAATGCGACTACATTCAAAACCAACATGTTGGAAATAAATAAATATAGCATTTCATTATTATCCTTTTTACTCATCTACACAGAGGACAATTTTCTCGAATTTTCTCTGTGCAATATCAATAGCTATATTGATTTATGTATGTTATATGACACGAAATAGTAATCTACTTGTACTGTAAAGATATATTAAAAAATTTCTATAAACACCTTAATCTTGTAACCTTTTAAAATTAATTGGTTAATAAAATATACAGGGTGATNGTCTTAAAGCACTCGCATATTTCTGCTTATGTCCAAATAAGTAACATCTTCTAGATAAAGAGGACGGTGATTTTGAAAAAAATGTAGTTATAAATGGCTATTTAATGAGCCATCAAAAAAAAAATTGGACGAATAAAATAATCCCCTACTATCCCCGTCCATATACTAACAAATATACCTACGCTGATGCTTTGTTTTATTAATCGTGTGTCGATTTTGATAAGCAAAAGTGCACGTGTTATGAAAAATCGTAATTCCGTCACAAATAAATACTGCTTCGTCAGTAAACAATATGAGGTTAATCATTTGATTGTTGTGCTGATATTTTTCCAAAACACGATGGCACATTTCCAATAGTTTTGACCGCTCATCTTCGTAAAGAGTCTGAAGGATATTTAGAAAATAACTTCTTCAAAATTATAGACTCAACGCAATATTTTTTTTAGTGTAGATTAATACCATTTTATTCTACATGCTTCAAAATACCATCGGACGAATCTCTATAAAAATTCTTTTCGTACAAAAAAATATGTAACATTCCTTGTACATCTTCATAGAAGTATTTCAATCTCATTTAGGTAATCTTTTTTGTTTACTTTTTTTATAATGCTGAAAAAAGAAAAAATTATCTTGTAAAAAGATAAATTTCATAGTACGTAAATTTAATAATAACTGTAATAGCTACTGACTGTTTCTGGTAGACTTCATATTCTGTTAATTTGCTGGTACTATTTTTATTAAAATTAAGAAACTTCTCTTCGAAGAGAATGGAGCAAATACAAGATTTTGAAGGTACCCTGCCTATTTTTAGGGGTCTTTAAAACCACATTATTTAAAATTTAATGTAATAAAAATATTAACCACGTCTGTGCGGGATTAGAGAATTGTGAAAGTAGTCCTAGAAAATGATGTACGGTATGTACAAATAGTTGTTTTAAATATTACATTTTTACTTACCTGTCATCGTCACAAATGTGGCGAAATGCGACTACATTCAAAACCAACATGTTGGAAATAAATAAATATAGCATTTCATTATTATCCTTTTTACTCATCTACACAGAGGACAATTTTCTCGAATTTTCTCTGTGCAATATCAATAGCTATATTGATTTATGTATGTTATATGACACGAAATAGTAATCTACTTGTATTGTAAAGATAAATTAAAAAATTTCTATAAACACCTTAATCTTGTAACCTTTTAAAATTAATTGGTTAATAAAATATACAGGGTGATTTCACTTTAAATACAGAAACTGCAGAACTACCAGCATTACCAAAAATAAGCAGAGTTTGCTCTATAAACTTNCATTCGTGCAATAAAGTACCTGGCAAATTTTAGCAGGTCGCTTCCACCATAGTAGCCATTTGAATGGCATAGTGGCAGTCAGCGCGATAGATGGAGCCTTTTTGCTACGCGTACTAGTTTAGTTTAGTTTAGAATTATTAATTGAAGTAACATAATCAGCAGCAGGTTGGACCTCCTCTTGACTGTACAACTACCCGACAGCGTCTAAGGCATCTTTCTTATTAGATTATTGATTGCTGTCATAGTTTTTTTTCTACAGTCCTGCCATGATATTTATAAGCTCATGCTTTGGCTGTGGTTGAAACTGAAATACTTTTTCAAGGATTGTTTCTTCCTGCTATATTTCTCCGCGCGTTTATCGCACTCAAATTCTGTTATCATCAGGATGCAAAGAAAAACTTAATTGATAATTATCTTATTTCCGAAAATTTTGCTGATCCAGATCCAATCTCTCGTCTCTTGATGTCTAGCTTTCTATTTCTGACTATTTGACATTTTCTTCGGATTATGGCAGCATTTATGATTATTTCTCTTAAAACCCTTCTTACCAAAACTTTGCATTCAGTTGATGTAATCTTCTCCATTCGACTCACAGTCACAAGAATTAATGACTTGGTATATTAGCCATACCCTATTAATTTGACTGATTGATGCATTAGCTAAGTTGACTTCATTGCAAAATTTCGTTTTCTATCATACCAATTATCTTTTTCAAATGAATCATTGAAATGCGTGATTTTCAGGATTGGTTGGGGGTCAAGTGAACTGAGTTCTTCTGCTTCTACAATAAGATACTTGGATAAAGTGAAATTATACAGTGTTTTAGATGTCCCTCTTGAAATTTTGAGTTGTACATTTTAATTTTGCTCTCAAATTACATCAAAACTGCTCCTTTTTGATGGAGATAGGCTATACGGCGATAAATAGAAAGAACTA